GGTGGGGGGGGGGGGGGGGGGGGGGGGGGGGGGTAATTGAAGGGATCTGCATGTCAATTCAAGATGCGGTCTTGATCTCGTGCATTCATCCGTGCTTTTTGAGGTTGTGAATATCCATAAATGCACTCGTGAACATATGTGTCTCTGCATTCGTGTGTGTCCTCATGCGCCCATGGATGTACTCACTCTTCGTAGGTGGTTAATTTAGGCGTCGAGACGCTGTAGCATGCAGAGACCCTACTAGCTAGCTAGGCACTGCCAATGAGTGAGTGGATGGATGGAAGGGATGGATGGATGGGAGGGAGAGAGACTCATTGATTGAAGGATCCATGTGTGTCAAAGAAGAGACCAACACGCTCAAACGTCCTGTAATCGGCAACACATCAGTGCAGAAGGTCGTTCGTCTGTGTTGCACAAAAGCCAGTGTCGGGCCCCGCCAAATCCAGGGTTGGGTTTTCAATGGCGAACCCCAAGGGCGATCCGCGTAGCGAATGTGACGCATTAGCCGAGAGAACAGAATCGAACCACTTGAATCATCGCACCCCTGCCCTCTCGACTGTTGTGGTGGGATGGCTGGTCATTAAGCTGATAGATATCGGAGGACCCGGTGAGAAGCCTGGTGAGGCCGAGCACTCATCCGCTCACCCTCACATGCTGCATCTCTGTGTGTCTTCTCCAATCATTACAGGTTTGTTCGTTCGGTGATGGCGGCTTCGTGCTCATCTGACGCCATTGGGCCAAAGGAGGACAGCTCAGCCACTGCAGACGAGTCGGCACAGGCACAGGCAGCCCATCCCCTCAGCGATGATGAGGAGATCAAACCTGAGCTCTCTGCAATGATATCAGACACGGTGAGGTTATGCTAGGAACACAGCCGATGCGGCAGGTGGATTGGCTTCTCACTGTCCTCAATGTGTGTCATGCAGCCCGGCCTGCTGGATTGCGTCATTGTATTCTTGTCGCTTCATCTGCTGGTGTACCTGTCGCGGCACATGAGGGAGGCCGTCGCACCTCACCACACACGGCTCGTCATCAGCGCGGCTGACAAGGAGGAATGGTCCCTCTGGGAGCGCATCCCAATCGGCCTCGTCAAGCGGCTGGCAGCGTCCCTCACTCGCCTCACGTCCCTTATCTTCCGCTACCCCTTTGCCGCCACTCTCTGGTGCTTCGACGTCTTCATCACGTTCGTCGAAGGCCACGCTGAGGGGCGGCGAACAGCCAACATGCAGGGAGGGAGTCTGCAGACGATCGTCTTGGAGTGGGAAGGTTCTCTTTCTTCGGCCATGTTGGGCCGACTGCAGCGGAGAGATCCTCCCCTCCCTCCGCCCGCAGTCCCGCCCCCTACCCTTGACGCGCTCACGTCCATCACATTACTCGGAGGCGGACATGGGATTCTAGCTAATAGAGATTGGCGCATGCCCTCTCTTGCACGAGTGGGGCAGACGGGGTGGTCGTACCGCTCGTTGGGCCGCTTCATCAGCACCTCCCGACGCCTGCAGCACGTCGACGGGGACTTCTCAGATGGCGACTGGGCGAAGGCCTTTGAGCATCTGCCTGTGGGCGATGGGGGACAGCCGGGGCCTCTCAGCCAGCTCAAGAGTATGGGCAAGATTTGGCTGTTCAGTGTCGATGAGACAGATCGACTGCAGGTGAATAGAACATACACATAGAAACGAGGAGTGCGTGGCACTTGGAACGGTTCGCGCATCCCCTACCTCAGGCAACGCTCTCGTCACGTGGCTGTCGGAAGGCCCTTCCCGGGCTTCACGTGAGCCTTTCCCTCGCAGCAATTGACGTGCCGGACCGCACCGTCGCCCGGCTGTGTGCCCTCGATCGCCTCATTAACTCCTGCTGTACATCGCCGGACGTCCCTGTCAGGGTCAGCCATCTGGACGGCCTCTCACTCAAGCTCGATCACTTCCACACTGCGCCCTTCCCCTCAAACCCCACCCCCACATTCAGGAGGACGATCCAGCAGGTGGTCCAGAAGGCAAGTGGTGTGTATTTCCACCTCACAGACGGCCCCTTGCCCCCCGCCACAGAGGCGGCAATCGACCTGGCCCGGACGCTGTCATTCGACAGCGCCACAGAGGTCGAGGTCGAAGTCTCCGCCAATGCCACCATCCCTTCCCAGGACAGCATGATCATCTCGCATCTGCAGCAACTGCCGCCGCGAGCAGGTCTGCTGTTCCGGCTTTATTCTGCTCGAGCGGCCCAGCCTGGTGTCGCGGGCGCTGTGGGTGCCATGATGGCCGCCAAGATGCACAAGTATGTCCAGAACGTCGACTTAGCGGAGTTGCTTGGAGAAGACGCCGTCCGTGTGCTTGAGGGTCTCGGGAGAGACAGGGAGGTGGGCATCGTGAGGATAAGATGGGCCAATTTGGAGCAGCTGACGAGCACCACTGCGACGCTGCCAGCTATAGATGGACTCGCAGTTGTGGGTGAGCCGAGCCAGGGAAGGAAGTGCACCTAGCCTTACCGATATCGGATTCTGTCTGTGTATGTCCTGTCAGTGGCGCAACACGTGGGGGATGAGCAGGAGGCTGCCCATTTCAATTCATGCCTCGTGTCGCTCTGCCAGAGTGTACGGGGCCTGAAGCGTGTGGACACGTATGTCGACGTCACAGAGACGGCTGTGCCAGACGTGGTTGAGCTGCTCGATCGGGGCACCAAGCTCGGCAGTGACTTCAGCGTCACCGACTTCAGCGTCACCAACCTGCGGCGGGGGCATGGCACTGTCAAGGTCACTGCCACACGGGACACGATACCGCAGGTCGGCACGAACGACAGAGAGGAAGAACGATTTTGGTCGGTGGCTGCTTGTGACTGTGGATGTTGGTCAGGCTGCTGCTCCTGCTGGTGCTGGTGCTGGTGCTGGTGCTGTGGTTTCCAGGGGTCCACCAGAGAGCCACGAGCAGGCGAGCGCACCTGCTGCTGCCTCATCGGCAGGCCGTCCACGTGTCGCCGCGGAGATGGTCGACGACACGGAGCATTATGCGCCCTTCCTGACGGAATGCGCCAGCGCTGCCGAAGAGGTGCAGACATGTCCTTTGAATCGCCATGTCGCTCATCGGTTGCCGGCTCCTGCTTGCTGGTCGTCACAGGGGCGGATGCCGCACATCGCACCCTCGAATCCTCAGGTACAGACAGACAGACAGGCAGGGAGGCAGACACGCGTGTGATGGGTGAGAGGAGCACCACGCGTTCAATTGCGTGACGCTTGCGTGTGTGGCTCGTCAGAGTGGTGGTGGTGCTGTTGCTGTGGTTCCGAATGGGCCAAGCGGTGCTGCGGTAGGTGACTTCGTATTGACACATATGATACGCTTATGTATGCCATCGTTGTCAGGTCGCTCTCTCGTCCATCACCTCTGCTGCGTCGCCGCCCCTCACCAGCCGCGCCATGAGGCCCATGCTGCTGCCGTCGATGCCCCACCCACCCCCTCGCCCCCACACCGCCATGACGACATTCATGGTGATGGCCAACTATCCCTCGCCAGCTCCCATGATCCCACCATACGCCCGTCCGCCCCTCCCCGCGTCCCTCCCTGGTGGCACAGCTGCTCCACAGGCGCACCATCAGGTCCCCTTCCCGCCACCTTCAGCAGCCCCAGCGATCAGGGGACCTCCAGGTGCACCGCCGACCATACCATGGTGGTACCAGCCACACGGAGGAATCCCGCCAAACGCACACGGGCAGCCACGGCAGCCGCCACGAGGCAGACAGCAGGAGGGGCGGGGCAATAGCTGGATGGGTGATTGAACGGCAGTGTGGACGGATGGATGGATGGATGGACTGGAGACGGTTTTCGGGGCGTGTGAGAATGCAGAAAGGGGTGGGGGTGACTAGTGGGATGAAACGGATGGGTGCTCATGTGCTTACTGGCTGCCTAGTTGCGTGGCGTGTGTGCAGATGGTGGGTGGGACCATCCAGATGACCATGCGTGCCTCGGCGAGACTATCGGTACCATTCAGAAATTTATCCGCTCAGTTGCCGCCTCACACAGCTGTTCCGTTCATTCTCAATCACATTTTTCAATCACAAGCATTGTCTCAATCACTACCTCATCACTACACTAGCCGAACACAGCCTGAACAAACGAAATGCGCACAGCACACAGCCCACGCAGACAGAGTAGGTAGGATACGTACGTATCAAGATCTGATGGCTGTGCTGACTGTGTGTGTATCTCTGACTGACCATGACAATGCGCTCACCGCTGCCCGGCCTGCACTTAGTTATATCGACGGACGGACGGACGGAGACACACATACACAGCTAGTTGTGTGCAGGGATGGATGAGCACGCCGGCACCCTCTCCATAGCACACAGACAGTGAGTGCATCCATCGACAAACAAAGGTGTTACGCCAAGCTCACGCACATCACACAGGAAGGGGCCACACAGACACACACTACGGGGAGGGAGGAAACCGCTGAGCTGACACACGAGGACAAACGGCCGACTAACCAAACAAACAAGATGCTGACTGATAGCATCCCACAGGCAGGCAGGCAGGCAGGCAGACATATACGTACCTGCACAGAGGCTAGACACACACACACACACACACAGGAAACGCCTGTCTGCCGCAGGAGTGAGGGGGGAGGGGAGCGCTGGCAAGAAAGAGCTGAGGAGATCAGCCACACGTGTGTGTGTGAGCATGATAGATATACGGCTGCTGCCGGGGAGTCGCGTCGTCCGCGATGTCGACATCCCTGTGTGCGTGCGGCGCCAAAACCAATCGGCCCGACACACACCTGCTGCACGCGTATGTGCGGTGGCAGTGCGGGCGGCAAGCCCAAAATCAGAACGACGCGGTGCTTGTACTTACACCTGCCTGCCACAGCAGCCAGTGGGTGGGAGCTCATGAATATGCCTCGACCTGCTAAAAGCCTACACAGCCACACAGAGATGTGTGTGACGCACACACATCACATCACATCACATCTGTGTGCGACGGGTGCATCTCAGCTCAGCCACCAATAACACGAACATAAAGCCATCAGACGGCTACAGGTTAGTCAGTGTCGTGTGGTGCGGTGTGTGCGTGCGGTGACAAGAAGGAAGACTGCGGACAAAAGATGCATGTGGTTGTGGCAGACTATGTCAGCCAGTGCAGGTGGGTACAGGACACAAGTTGTGCGGCGGCACAAGACAAGCTGCCGATAGAACAGCGGCTGGCTGATGGGATGGATGGGCAGTCAGTGGTGGTGTCGCTGGAGGCTGGCTGGATAAATGCGGCCGACGACACAAACCGGCGGAGAGAGAAGTGCTTCTGCCGCAGCAGGAACCAGCTTCGTGTCGCGGCAGCAAGCGGCAGTCGGAGAAAGGCCTCTATATCTATATCAGGGACACAAAAACATGTGGTGTGTGCGGCGGGCCGCCAACACAGGAAGAGTCAGTCGGTGGGTGCAGTGCATGGGGGAGCAAGTCGAGTGAACCGCATCTATCGTGGACAAAAAATAGAACACGGAGTCAGTCAGTCAGTCAGTCAGTAAGTCATACAACGCATCGGAGAGCAAGAAGTAGAGAGCTGCGGCACACGCGACGGCAGGCGTTGACCACGCCGTCATACTGCAACGCTATCTCACTGAGCTGGCTAGACACTGAAGGAACAAACAACACAGAGACACACCAAGGCAAGCACGTCTTGTCGGTCCGGTGTGCTGCAGTGTTGCCTAGCTGCCTGTCTTACCATCGTCATGCAGCTCAATCAGTTGGTCCAGTGCATCCTTCTCCCGTTTGGTCATCCCCTCCACTTCACAGCAGCCCCGACTCGCGCTCGCCCTCCCGCGCCTCGCTGCCCCTGTTGTGTTGGACGGGGCGCCGAACGACACCACACTGCCACTGCACCGCAGGGACTCGGACACCTCCCTCCGGCAGGGCGGCCTGGGGCGGAGGGGTGTGGTTGGTCTGGGTGAGGATGGCCAGGGGGGTTGGCATGGTGGGTGAGTGCGATGCCATCGAGCTGGAGGGGAATCTTGAGCGGCAGTAGGATCTGGCTGCACAGGATGCCTGGCTTGTACGTCAGCCGGCGGACGGTGATTGACAGGTTCTGCACCGCACGACAGGCACAGGTCACCATTCGTTCGTGCGGTGTGCAGTGAGCGTCTCTGGCTGCCTGTCTTACCATAGTCATGCAGCTCGATGAGATCTTGTGCGCCAATTTGTTGGGGACGGGAGCTGACGTGTGGACACGCGTGGACATGCGGGGCCTTCAGGGCCTTAGCCACTGGGGGGCTGACTGTCCGTCAGCCCCGCCCACCGATTTGTGGCTGCCTTTCCACGCCACTGCTCCTTTAAGAGCTGCGGCGCTTCCAGGCGGCCATCGGTGGGCCTCTCGTCAGCTCCCTCCCTCCTTGCTGCTGCTGCA